AAGTTCAATGTTTTGTTAATCTGAATTTTATGTGATGGATCAGAACACAATAGTCTAAATTGGTGAAGTGAAATTAGAAAAATACATACATAAAACTATTTTTTAGAAATAGAAAACAGAAAATTGGTATGTGCGTATGTATTCACCCCCTTTGTTATGAAGCCCATAACAAGCTCTGGTGCAACCAGTTACCTTCAGAAGTCACATAATTAGTGAATTGATGTCCACCTGCGTGCAATCTGTCACATGAGCTGTAATTACATATACACACCTTTTTTGAAAGGCCCCAGAGGCTGCAACACCTAAGCAAGAGGCACCATTAACCAAACACTGCCATGAAGACCAAAGAACTCTCCAAACAAGTAAGGGACAATGTTGTTGAGAAGTACAGGTCAGGGTTAGATTATAAAAAAATATCCAAATCTTTGATGATCCCCAGGAGCACCATCAAATCTATCATATACAAATGGAAAGAACATGGCACAACAGCAAACCTGCCAAGAGGCGGCCACCCACCAAAACTCAGACTGGGCAAGGAGGGAATTATTTAGAGAGGCAGCACAGAGACCTAAGGTAACCCTGGAGGAGCTGCAGAGTTCCACAGCAGAGACTGGAGTGTCTGTACATCGGACAACAATAAGCCGTACGCTCCATAGAGTTGGGCTTTATGGCAGAGTGGCCAGAAGAAAGCCATTACTTTCAGCAAAAAACAAAATGGCACGTTTTGAGTTTGTGAAAAGACATGTGGGAGATTTCCAAATTGTATGGAGGAAGGTGCTCTGGTCTGATGAGACTAACATTTAACTTTTCGGCCATCAAAGAAAACGCTATGTCTGGTTCAAACCCAACACATCACATCACCCAAAGAACACCATCCCCACAGTGAAACGTGGTGGTGGCAGCATCATGCTGTGGGGATGTTTTTCAGAAGCCGGACTGCACATACACATAGGCACATACAAACACACTGATATAAACTGACACACACACACATTCAGATACACACAGTGACACATACACAAACCTTGACACATAGATACACTGACACACTCAGACACACATACTCTTTGACAGACACACATACATTCTCACTGACAAACACACAATCTCTTTTACACACGCACATACAAACACATATACACTCTCACTGACAAGCACACACATTCTCACAGACAAACACATATGTGACAGTTCTCACTGTCCCTGGATTTTAAAGTTTTTATTCCCTTCGCCAGTTTGTTTGGGGAAACATGTTTATTCCCTATATTAACATTGCCTTGTTCGAACAATGAATAAACTACCGAATGACCGACCACCCAGACGCAGAGTGTGCCGCTTGTTGACCCTATTGACCTTTACTAACACCTCCGTAACTGCAAACACCTTAACGTTCTAAGCGGTCGGCTGGGTGGTCGTTGTTCGTATGTGCTAACATGTGGCGGTGGCCATCTTGAGATACGAACACGGCCAGTGGAGTTTGGTCGTAGAGTGTATAGAACTAAAATCGGACACTCGACGGCACGAACACGGCTGAGACTTTCAGCCCTACTTATGTTCGACAATATTCTTACAAACATAAAGGCGAGCGGTGCAAACATTCCCCGAACCACAGAGACTATGGGAACGTACGCACTAACTGATATTCATATGTATGTGATGTATTTTGGTACTCCCAAAAGAGACCAACCACACAGCCTCAATTCATGGAACTATTTTGGACAGGCGCCTCGTGTGCGCTCGGTCTAAACTGTACCCTGGTGTCGTTTCGGCTATATTCATTCAATCTGAGTGATTTCGAGATATGTTGGGCGCTCAGATCCAGGCTATCCGGGGATATAGAACTTGAAGGGGCACCTCATTGTTAAGTATATATTTTGGGGTATTTTTATTATGCATGTCCTGGACTCAAGAGGTAATGCAATTATGTGTGTGCTTATGTTGCTATCTCCACTCAGGTCCAGTGGGGAATGCCGCTGGAATATCTCACCAGAAACCCCTTGCATAAAAGGCCAGCTGTGGCTCCCATTAAAATCAGTTCACTTCACCCTCAACACGCAGCCTCGTGATTGTAGGGAACAGCTATACAAGCTATACCAACTATACCTGCTAGACTCTCTGGAGTAGGAGACGTCCACTGGAAGCTGGATCCTGGGCTTGGGTCGAGGGTGGGTGGAGGACAGCGAGACCCCAGACAAGCTGCTGCGGCTAAGAGGCTATGGTGCTTATGGTGTCCAGTGCAGTGCTTATAGTACTGCAGGCTACTAGGAAGCAGCAATTGGCGGAGGCACCCAGTCCAGGCGGGGGGGCCAGGCGGTCCGTCACAACATACACACTCTCACACTCACTGACAAACACACATATACTCTTTGACAGACACACAAACACATACAAACTCCCTAACAGACACACATACAATTTTTATTTTATTTTACTCCACCCAGCTCCCTTACCTTTTGGAATGCTGGCATGGAGTCTGTCCATGTGGTCAGTGGGGCTGCTGGGCTGAGGGTGCGGTCCATGGGATCCAGTGGTGCTGCTGGGCAGCTGGTGTGTGGTCCTTGGGGTCCAGTGGGGATGCTGAGCAGCTGGCATGCAGGCGACTATGGAGCAGTGATTTCTCTGCTCAGCTTTCTTGCGCGCCTCTTAGTGATGTCTGGTACCACTGCTGTGCGCGGGAGCTGAGCAGGGAGATCACTCCCTCCATTTTGTTTTTATAAATATTGGTGGAACCCCAATTGTGTTCTCGCTGAACACCAATTGGGAAACGCTGGTGTAGACCATTCCTCCCTACCATCTTTAAATGTAAAATGTTGAAACTCAGTCATTCTGCTTCACGGCATCTACACTTCTCTGGAGGCAGTAGAACAGAGAAAGCTGATAGATGTACCCCTGGTGTCTATATTTTATTTCCATGGTAAAACATGAATTCGGTGGTTTGGGGCCTGTGACATGTTTTGCAGAGTGCAGATTATTGGATAAAATTATTACATGCATTTAGATTAGCAAACATTTATCTTTATTCTTTTCTTTCACTGAGTTCACTGAATTTCAATGTTTTTTTTTTTTAGTATTTTTAGATTTGCTTTTGTGTTTAAAAGCAGTCTTTTACACCTAGTCAAAACCAATGCAATAAAGTTAATGGCTAATGACATCTGTAAAAGATTTATTATTTGGGCACATGAGTTATTACCTAAACTGTACCATGAACATTTGTGTGTAGTAAGTATTGTAACATAGGGATCATGGAATAGCTTTTAATCAGCAATTGGGAAAACAAAGTGGCAATCCACATTAGCCATTTAAAAACGACAATCACTGAGAATTTGTTATAGTGAAAATGACATTCTTACATCTGAAACATTATGGGAAAACAGAACTTTCTGCCTCATTTATAGCCAGGGCCAGACCGGGAATGAAAAGCACACCTGTAAAAAATTTTTTATACCAGCCCCATAATGCATCACGCTAGTATAGTGTGCAGATATGGAAGTGGGAAAAAAACAACGATCACTCACAGGGCTTCAAAATAAACAAAAGAGCTGATTTATTGTAAGCAGACGTGCATTTGCATATAATTTCAATCAATTTTCTTGATATATTACGGAAAGTTTGGTCATTTGGACTGAAATTGTGAATGTATGCTATTGCACAGAAG